TTTCCTTTTCTCTGACTCTTGAGCTGCTGTAACAAGTGAATCCCCCCTTCAGAGCAATCAATAAGTTTATCATATTTTATCATGTTTTAAAAAACAAACTCTTTTCTATGATTGCCTCTGACAAAAGTCTAGGCAAAAGTATTTTCAGTCTGTGTGAATTTGACATTTCCTTCGTTTCTTTAAGAAATCTAATTAAACTCTGTAATGTAAAGGCGTCTCCTCCAGGCTTTTCTCTTATTGAATCAGGCTCTGTGACAAAGAGCCCACAGATACTCACAGCTACAGTCTGGATGAGTAGCTGCTGAAGAAGCAAAGTTTACAAACTGACAGAGGCTCTCCACAAAACATTTGTGTTGTTTGGCACTGAGCCGTTTTATTCATGGGAGGGAGCAGCCAGGGGTTTGGTGCCTTGCTTAAGGGGCATGTTGAGAAAGCAAAGAGCATTTACTCAGCCTGTTTTTATTCAGTGTTTATTTTTCAAGTTTCTTTATTCACAGTCGTTCTTTCGCACATTATATTGCTGCTATGAATTTCAAACATCCTTTTCTTTCCCATTCTTGGCATACTTGAAGCCAAAACAGAATCTAATTTTCAGGAATGGTTTTTCAGTAGTCAAGCCCTTTCACAGAGACATATTTTTGCATTTGACTCTGTATTCCATCACATAGGAATTTAGCACAGATCATAACCTTTTCAAAAAACATAAATCATAGTGGCAACACTACTAAGCAGGATTAACCCATTCTTTATTTTTCTCTTTTTACTGAATTGTTTGAAACAAGAAAAATACAAACAATCACGATATCTTTTGATTCCCCATCCCAAACTTCACTTTATTATTTACCCTCCATTTTCTATTAAGAGTAAATATTATTCCCTTTCACTGTCGCACTGAAGGGCATCCTAAATCTTTATTAAGCCACCACAGTCCACACATTCACAATTCATTCAAGAGCCACACATATGGCTCAAACAAAGATTCACACATGTATTCTGAGTTGTGCCACTTCCAACTTCAGACACACACAATATGACAAAGAAAGAGTTTCTACACAAATAATTGAATACCATTTCATGGCGTGTTGTTCAAATTAAGTCCATTCGTCTTTTATCAAACTCTGTTTAGCTAACATCAATGTTAATAGTTAATACTTTGATACCTACATTGCTTATTAAAAGGATATTCCTGCTTAAAAAGCCATTATTAAATTAATACAACAGTGGCTTCTTTAAATTCAGTCTTTTTAGAGAGGCACCTGTGTATCCACCAGGTGAAGCTTGCATGTCACCAGGTGAATAATTAATAAATATCTAGCTCTGTATTCTTCGGACTGAACTGCTCTTCTTTGCATTGAGTTGAAGTGTTTGATAATATATATTCTACTACATAGAACCAACCTCTTACCTCCTTTTCTGGCAGTACAGCATGTCTTTCTTTTTACCCTGATAGTTAAAACTCTGTTATGCTCAGAGTCCTGGCTTCAAACTACATGAAGCCCGCTCGACTTGAGAAGAACATGAGCCCTCAAAACACTCAAACAAATGTTCAGATTTCTTTAACAATCCTTTTCTTGTTCTTGACCAAATTTGACAGTGAAAACCTTCCTGAACATAACATTTCCTAGAGTAATGCCAGGATCATGTATATATGTACATATAAAATAATCAGCAGCTGAAATCGATGACTGTTGGCATTTCGGCTTGATATGGTTTTTGTGCAGCGAGAATCTAAAAGCAGGTGTTCTGTGGAAATGCAGGTACACATGCTGTGGCTGGACGGGGTTTTGTAGATGCCTTGCAGACATGTCTAGTCTCCACACACTCTGGCAGGGCTTCCATGAGATACCAGAGTCTGGCTGGCGCCACCGTCTCCAGCCGAGCCAAACAAGACGAGTAGGCTCGCTCTGCCACACACTCAGAGGTGTCTCTTGTCTCGTATTTACGGCCCCTTTAACCTCAGCAGAGTGCATTACATCATTGACCCCAATTCAGACCACGGCCAAGACATTTCACCACCCTTTACCGTCATGGGAATTTGCACCTGACTGACATCTATTTTGATCCATAAGCAGTGAAGAATTAGGGATTCTCCGAGTACTTGTTGCGGATTTGTTGGTGCATAATTTGGCATATCATGACAGGCGGTAACAGCTGCTAAAGTATGCAATGCACTCTGAGGGAGCCGCAATGATGAAACCAGGGTGACCTGATTTATTAGTACACAAGCGTCTGGAGAGGAGTCACAGGAAGTACTTCCATAAGGACTTTCTGGGGACTTGACATGAGAGGCACGGAGGGCTCTCTAAAAAAAAAAAAGCCCCCCAGGCCCATCTTTTGCAAGTGGGCGGAGGGTCTAAAATAAAATCAGCTGTCACTGTGTGCTCGTTGGACAGAGGTGAACACATAGTACTGGAGCTGGTTCTCCAACTGATTGGGATTTGCTTTTCGACTTGGAACGACCCTGCAGGCCAGGGGTGCAGTGGCCTTTCTGTGGGATTTCTACCTGCTGAGCTTGTTTTTTCATTATTCATTGCTTACCTGGTAGGTGATCAGCACTTGTTTGTGTGCTTGTGTCTACAATTCTGTGGAACGATTTGGGATTTTAAACTACATTTTGTGTTGATAATTTTGAATGCAGAAAATGTAACACAAAACTTCCTTTAATAATCAGCAGAGAAAACATGAAATACCTCAACTGAATTATTGTGCTCCAATACAGCAGACAAAATGACCATTTGCATCAGACCTGCAGGGAAATAGACTGTGTCCAAGATACTAAATTAAATCTGGCTCTCTTTTTGGCTTTATAAGTTAATTAATTTCAGATAGATAGACTGAGCTGATGGATTTACTGAACCTAGACATGTACATATGGGTGCTCTGTAGCCTCATGGAATGGAAAAAAATGATATTGTTAAAAACTGTGTCCAAAACACAAAGTTATCAATTTAGTCTATCTGGAGACGCAAACCTTGGCTTAGCAGCTTTCCTCTATATTTTACTGAGAAACACAACCCTTCATGGTTAAGTTTAAAATAGTCATGATAGTTCATGATTTATTTTAGCAAGTCCATGGCGCCGAGATTACTTCACTTTCTTGTTATTTGAGCTCTCAGCTCGACCTTAGGTGTCATGAGATAGCCTCTGACTGTTGACAGATTTTTTTTGGCATCAAACTTCAGTTCCTCTTTCAATAATTTACTGTCCCTTCATCCTTACCCTCAAGACATAACCAGAATATGCTTTGGTGCAAAATTTTTCAGCTGATTAGGATTTACGAGAAAAGTCCATATTTGTACTGAAAATGTGTTGTAAACGATTTTAAGGGTTTTACTTTTAGAGTTGCATAATGCCTGTTCTGTATCCGTCTGAATGGACTGATTGGTTTACAAAAACATACCCGCCATTCCTCCGAGTCCAAAATAGATCATCCTGGGGGACTGCTAAGCAACAAATCAAAAATGACTAAATGAGTTTACCATTTGAAAGAAGGTAACTACAGTGCAATGCCCCAATGGTTAGTAAAGTGTATTTTGCCATATCATCCATCAGTTATCTGCACTGCAGTGGTATATCTGTCTATTTTTGTTTCCTTGACTCTTACTTCATTGCTATTTTCTGACTGACATAGTATGCAGTGATAAAATGTGTTCATTGCTGCCCAATTATATTACAGATAAATATAACCTCTTACTTCTAGTATATAGCTGCTTTGCTTACAGACTGCTTGTTATTTTTTTATTTTTTTATTTAACCTTTATTTAACCAGGAAAAAGTCTCATTGAGATTAAAAAATCTCTTTTACAAGAGCGTCCTGGCCAAGACAGGCAGCAGCACAATTACAAGGTTTCAGACATAAAACACTAAACAACAATGAACATAAATACAGGAATCACAAAAAGAACCATTCATCAGAATCTGTCATAAGTCATCAGCAACAAAGCGATCAAAAAGGGTTATGATAATGAGATGGACATACGCATAAAGCTTTAAGGGGTGCAAATTCACCGCAGAGAAAAAGTAGAGCATATAATCGTTTTTTTAGATATGCAATTAGTCTTCAGGGTAATATAGGTGCTTTAGAAACATAAAAAGAGTCTGGATTCATATTTCACCCTATAAATTTAAAGCATATTTATATCCAAAAGAAACTGAGGTGTGAATACTTAGCATTCACAAACATAGATGCAAATGTTGAGTCAGCAGCAAGGTTGATGTGGAGTCCGCAGATGTTAGGAGTTTGATGCACACTGCAACACCCTGTCAGCTAAACTGTTATATTACTTTGAGTACTGTTTGTCTAACTCTTACAGTATCTAAGTGTACAAAGATGGAGAGAAATATTGTCCATCCATGCACTACAATACATGAATAAACCCCATGATACATTACTGCATTCATTGGTAATAGGGTCTGCAAGAAATGTCTTTAAGACAAAAAACAGTAAAAGTGATAACACAACTTTAAAGACTCTTCATTCTTCATTACCTCTTTCAATACTCAATGTGATCTAAATGACCATTTCCAGGGACCATACAACCCCTGGGGTATATTAAGAAATTCTAGCGAGGAATACTTTCTGCAAAACCATTATTTTGTAGGGTATTCACTTGAAATTTCCCCACTCAAGATACAAAAACTAACAATACATTTTGGCCGAATACGTTTTTAATGCGCACATGCAGAATCACTGTAGAATATATAGTAGTATATTATATATATAATATATGTAGTATATTATATATATAACAAATATAGTAGAACATATCAGTCTAATATTGCACCCAAAAAAGCCATTGAGCTCACAACTAATTTGTCTTTTAAAAAACAGCAGCATATACAGAGAAGTCTCTGATAGTATTAGCAGTACTTTAATTGCACGTTTTTAACTCAGCAGTGTTGTGTACCGCCCTTGTACAATTATTAGACACCTAACAACAAACATTAGAAGATTTTTTTATATTTAACTGGGTATCTGTGCCTTAGCTGCTGGCAGCGCAGGTGTAACCAGGGCAGGACTTCCCGAAAGAGATTTAACCCAGAGGAACCGGATTCACTCTGTGGACTCAGAGGTCATCCCACTGACCAACTGTGAGGCCATGTACCAGGCAGCTGTCTCCAAGCGAGCAGACAACAACATCCCAAGCGGGGTACTCTATAGCTTGTGCATGAACATGAACATGTAGTGTTTCACCTACAACAAACTTATAGTATAGTTACCACAGCTTCATGCACCGCAGAGACACAATTGTGTAATTACAAACCAATATTCTATGGTTTAATACATTGGTTTGATTGCTGTCCTGTTGTCTGCTTCAGCCTTTCGCGACTGGACACTATTAAGGCTTGCCCGGAAGCTCAGTCGCACTTTTGCCACCATTATTGTTTGTGTTGTCATGCAGTATTAGTGGAGGGGATGACAGTTTTGATGTGGGGGGGAAGAGGATCAGCAGTCTTGCATATACGTGTATATAAATAGAGTAGAAACATGAGACTCCCCCTACAGGACAGAAAATAGAAGAAGGCTGGAGAAACAAAGAAATGTTGGCTCTACTTTGAAAGAGCTTTAACATTCCCTTATGTAGATTTAACGTTTACAGACGACATAACAGCCTATTATGTATTTTGAGTGTGTGTGTATAGAGAAAGAGAGAGAGAGAGAGAGAGAGAGAGAGAGAGAGAGAGAAAGAGAGCAAACTGCATAAAGCATTAGCTTGACAGCAGCCCGCACTGCATGCACACCAGACAGAATAGCCCTATTAAGCATTTTTTTGATTTCAGGTCTTGTCGAAGAGGAAGCAGCTAATGATATTTCCTGCTTCATTAGGTCATGGAGGAGTCGGAGGTCTGTTCCCTGCCTGGGGGACTTGCCAGTGTGAGGAAGCAATTTGAGATCCAGGAAACTGCATCTTCACACAATGTTACCCAGTTCCACTTTCATCACAGAACCATGCAGGTACATATGTAGACCACATTTAGCATATCATCTTAGCATGCTAAGAGCATGAAAGAATGCCTTTATTGGCAACAGTTCCTCTGAACCTGACCACCTTTAGCCTTCAATGGGAATCTTTGTATGTCAAATATGTGCTGCTGAATATTATCTTACATCTCATCGCATCAACACTGGAGCAGAGTGTGTAACTTACCTAACTAGTCATTTCTAACAGATTTCAAGAAAACCTCCAGGGCGCTCTTTATAGCACTTATTTTAAAGCTCCATTCAAAAGACAGAAAGTTTGCAAAGCTCTGGGAATGAATTTCTTATTTCTTTCTTAGTTTTTAAAGTGAACAGTTTGACACATTCTTTGTCATCTTGTCTCCATCTGTGATAAACTCCAGCACAATCTGTCAGAGCATCTTCTCTACATGATACTCAGTTGTGTTATTAAGCTTTGACTGGTTGAGTGGAGTAAGCTAACATTTGTATCTATGTGTGTTCAAATGAGATCGAGAAGGTTATCTGTGTCTTTTGTGTATTGTGTGTGGCAAATACACACTTTCTCACTGTGTTTGATAACCGCTGTCATTTCTTCACAGGAAATCTCAAACTCTGAGGTGACAGTGTCAAGCAGCAGCAGGCAGGTCCTCCCAGGCAGTCAGCAGCTCAATGTCAACCAAGACACCATGGTAAATTGTTAGTCTCTGTGTACCGGCAGGGAGTGTGATAATGTTTTGCTAATGAGCTTTATACTCTGATTCTCTTGAGTAAAAACTGTAACAGATTTCAATCTATCAGATTTGCAGAATTGATGTTTGTGTAGTACTCGGACTGTTTAGGCTAAGAGAGTAAAACCTAACAATCAATAGCAAAATGTTTGCAAAATGTGGTTTAAAATGTATTTTACCAGGTTTGGTATGTTATTTCCATGTCTTGTTTTAAATTCATAGATCACATACAGCAACAATAACTTGGAATCCAGTTATGAAAACCATCAAGATGAAACAGGTGAGTTGTTTGTGTGAAAAGTTTGTTTTACTGCCACAAACATTTTCGCTAACTAGAAAATCTGAGAGCCTAACTTCATAATTATGTCTGTGCTAACTTTTAGAAGAGGACTTTCCAAGGTACTCTACAAAAGAACTAAGGGATCGCTTTGAAAGAACGATAGAGGAGGCTGCTTCACACAAACCAATTAAGGTAAGTATCTCTTGTCTCCTTATGTAAGGCAATGTATTGAGAATATTAGGGATATTCAATTAAAAAAATACATGAACAGGGTTATTTTTTATTTCAACACTGTTGATGTGATTAATCCCCGAGGGGAAATTAAATGAAATGCCAGTTTTAAGGATTTGAACTCATCAGTAATGTATTGATTTATGGCTGCAAAGAGTACAAGAAAGATTCTTATTTATGCAGTACCATTAATCCTGGTCACATAGGTGTTCTGCTATGTTAAATTAATCATGTTTTATAATCTCAATCTATCTTTAAGAGTTACAAAAAGAAGATTTTTTTGTGTTCATATAACTATGTTCTGTGAAGGAACTTGAATTATTTACCCACACATATTATTTCTGTTCCTTAAAAAGATTGAGCGTGACATCAATCGATCTAAGTGGTCCTCAAACGTGACACAAAACACCACAATCACTAGTGAGGTTGGTGAAGCATCTGCTATTGAGGCAACAGACAATACATCGGCTGTAGTGATGGATTACGAGGACTTTCCACCCCCGCCAATTGAGGATTCTGACTATCTTCCACCCCCGCCTCCAGACTTACTACAAATGCCATCAGAGAGTCCAAACATTCAAGTATGCCATTACTCACCTGAGCCGCCAGAACCAGCAAACCCCTCCAAGTACCCACTCAACAGAGAGGCTTTATTCAAGCAGAGGAGTATGCATGAGCTTAAACGCCTCTACAAGCATATTCATCCTGAGGTCAGAAAGAACATTGAGAAGGAATATTATAGTGATTACGAGGAAACTGAGAACAACCACTTAGAGGGCCAAGAGTATATGTATGAGGACGAAGGTGGTAGTCCAGATGATGTCAATGATGAAGAATATGGGGAATGGGAAGAGATTCTTCCCGGGGAGGTGCAGGCCATGCGTTGGATGTTTGAAAATAAGCCACTGGATACCATAAAAGATGAAACTCTGGATGAGGATGATGAAGAAAACAACATAAGTCAACAGGAGATGATTCTTGGAAAAGATGTGAGACGTACAGCTTGGATGTTTGAGACCAAACCGATGGATGAGCTGAGTTTGCACAATACCAACTCAACTGAATATAAAAACAAATTCAACAAATTAGACAAAGGAGATGTTCGTGCTGCGGCCTGGTTGTTTGAAACTCAGACAATGGACACTCTAAATAAATTGCATAAGGAGGAGGATTTAACAAAAGAGATTGTCTTCACAGAAGAAGATGGAAATGCTACCATTTACATGATCGACGATAAGTACATGGCAAGCCTTGGACACACAGAGACCATTGATGAGAGCCACATGCTGAGTCTGAGGTCCGTATTAGAGGAAATTAATGATGAAGTGAAAACTGTTACAAGCACTTTTGACACTCAGTTTAAATGCATCATCATGGGACAATCAAGCCAAATGCTGGAGGTCAAGTCTGTGCGTAAAATTGAAACTGAATTGGAAAACTCTATTGCCTCACGTTGGCTTTTCGATACCCAACCCTTGGACATGACAAACAGAGAACCTTCAGCTTTAAAGATTGTGTGCAGTCTTTCCATGGAGGATAGCAATAAGGGAGTCTGGGGTAGGTGGCTGTTTGAGATAAAAACATTGAATTCTCTCAGTGAGTGGGAAAGTTCCAAAATTGAGAACAAAGAGATCATCCGAGCTGATGTGCGCAAACACTGCTTAGTGTTTGAAACCCAGCCAATGGATTCTTTGAAGGATGACGCCAATGCTAGACCCCAGTCTCTTGAAGAGATTATAGGGGCAATGTTAGATCTGCTAGGCATTTTTTTGAAAGCAGCCCTCAAGCAGTGAGAAAGACTGGGCCTGAGGTCGGAAAACTTCAAAAGGCAACAGTAAATGAAGAAGTGAAAGGGGATGTGAGACACCAAAAATGGCGCTTTGAGAGCCAGCCTCTAGAGCATATAAGAGAGCAGAAGAAAGAGGTTATCCGCACTGTGAACATAGAAAATGACCTCACACAGGAGGATGGGACAAGCTGCAGGGCAGATGTTCGCAAGAACTGCTGGGTATTTGAAACCCAGCCAATGGACACTTTAAAAGACGATTCAAACGCACAGCCCCTGACAAAAGAAGACATTATTGCAGGTAATGTGAGATCAGCTAGACATTATTTCGAAACAAATCCATCCGAGGAGTTGAAGGAGCTTGCAGAGGTGGGCAAACTGAAAAAAGGAGTAACACTTAATGAGGAGAGGGGTGATGTTAGACATCAGAAATGGAGATTTGAAAGCCAACCCTTGAGCAGATAAGAGAGGAAAGGAAGGAAGTCATGAGAACGATTGACATGGAAGAAATTGATAAAGTGGATGTCTTGAACTACAAGCAAATCTTTGAAAGCACAGATTGTAACTGGAAAGATGAATCTCAGAAGATTATGATCGAAGGTGTGACTTCAGGTTCTGTAAAGTCCAATAAAAATCTGTTTGAGTCGACTCCTATGTATGCTATGCAAGACAGCTCAGGGCACTTCCATGAGGTGAAGACAGTGCGGCGTGAAGAGGTTGTGAAAGGAGATGTAACAACGTGCAAGTGGATGTTTGAAACACGCCCCATTGACCAATTTGACGAAACCATTGATAAATTCCAAATTATCAAAGGTATATCGAAACAAGAAATAGAGTCTGGGGATGTTAAAACAGCCAAGTGGTTGTTTGAAACACAGCCGCTTGATGCTATTAAGTATTTCAGCAATATTGAAGATGAAGAAGTTGTGGGGACAAGTTCAAAACAAGACATCATGAAGGGCGACGTAAAAACCTGCAAGTGGCTATTTGAGACAAAACCAATGGACATCTTGTATGAAAGAGTGGAGTCAAAAGCTGAGCAGGAATCTGACGAAGTGCAAAAGGGAGATGTGAAAACTTGCACATGGCTTTTTGAGACACAAGCACTTGATACTATCCATGATGAGACAGGGACTGTTCTGAAAACAAGCAGTGTGAATCAGGAGGTCATTCGAGGAAAAGATGTAAGAACGGCTTGTTTTCTCTTTGAGACAGAGAAACTGGAGAATCTTACTGGGGAGGAGACAAACTCTTTCAAACGTGTCACTGAGATCGACTTTGCATCAGGAGATGTGTCAAAGATGAAGTACATTTTTGAGAATCAAACATCCGATATTCTGACTTCTACCTCTGAAGAAGTTAGGCAAAAGCTCAAGCGAGTTCAAACTGAGGACATACAAAAAGGAAACGTAGTGAACTGCAAGTGGCTCTTTGAAAACCAATCGATAGATACAATACATGATAGCCAAGAAGAATCGATGAGCGGACGTACAATACATGATGTGCAAGGAGGGGATGTTGATAAGGGCCGTTTTATTTTTGAAACCTGCTCCTTGGATACGATTCATGAGGGGTCCTCTGAGACGAACTCAGAGCTGTCGATGAGGCAAAAGATTTTCAGAGATGAAGATGAGAAGGGTGATGTGAGAAATTACACTATGATGTTTGAAAATCAGCCCCTCTATGCCATTCAGGACAAAGAGGGCCTTTATCACGAGGTCACCACTGTCACCAGTGAGGAGGTTACAAGAGGTGATGTCGTTGGAACTCGATGGTTGTTTGAAACAAAGCCCCTTGATGCCATTAGGGACATGGATGAGGTTTATATAATTAAATCTGTCACACAACAGGATGTGCAAAAAGGAGATGTCACCTCTGCCAAGTGGAGATTTGAGACACAGCCTCTTGATAGGATAGCTGAGGAAAAGAAGGCTTTGATAAAAACTGTGGATGATATTCAAGGAGGCAATGTCAGAATGAACAAAAATCGTTTTGAGTCTGATGCCCTGTCTCAAGAATCTGTAAGAACAGTTAATGTGAGTGAAATACAAAAAGGAGATGTAAGGACTGCCAAATGGAGGTTTGAAACCCAGTCAATGGACAAAATAAGAAGCATGAGCTCTGAAAATCTAATTGAAACCGTTAAAAAAGAGGATGTTTCAAAGGGAGATGTTAAGCATTCAGTATGGCTCTTTGAGAAAAATCCTCTTGACCATATTAAAGAGGTAAATGAGCATGAAGATCATCCAACCATCACTCAAGAAGAGATATCTAATGCGGATGTAAAGACAACAACTTGGCTCTTTGAAACGACCCCATTCGACAACTTTAATGAGACAAAGATGGAGAAGACTGAAATCCTGGGCAAGAGCATTAAGGGAACTCTTGAGGAACTTTACAGCCAGAAAATGGTCAAGTCAGAGGGAGTTCTCATTGAAGCTGATGAAATTGGAGACGTTAGGATGGCCAAGTACCAGCTAATGAACAAGCAGTCTCCAGAGATTCAGCGAGAGGAAGTTATCAGGGGAGATCTGCAGACTATTATGATAAACCTACTAAACAGACAGGAAAGACAAGAGCAGCAGATTGTCATAGATTCAGAAGAGAAGGGTAACATCAGTTCAACAGTGCACCAACTATTCAACCAAGAGAGAGACAGCTGTGTTGAGAGGGAGGAAATATTACGAGGTGACATTCAGGAAGCTATTAACAACCTTTTCAATGAGGGTGGGTTGGCAAAACATGGACTACTCATCCAGGAGGATGAGAAAGGTGATGTGCAGATGACAATATATTCCCTTCTTAATAAACAAGAAAACACAAGTGTTGAGAAGGAGAGCATTGTAAGAGGGGATATAAAGAGTGCTCTTCAAAACTTGGCCAGTGCAGACAAGGCAGATCAGGCAGTGAAGATAAAGGTAGATGACACTGAAAGAGGGAATGTCAATTTTTACTCAACCTGCATTGAATCTGGAGCTCTAGATTATCTGAAACAGCTTCATTTAGGACCTGGTGAGACTCAATCAGAGACAGCAGAAAAAGAGAGGATCCTTGGGGGTGATATCAAGAGTACAAAACTCATCCTTGGCCAAAATCAAACGCAAATTGAGCGTACAATTGAGGATATTGTACCCGGAGATGTTCACAACACGGTAAAAGTTTTCATGTCAGAGCCAACCGTCTCATTGGAAAGACTCCAAAAGGAGGAGATAGTCAAAGGTGATTTAAGAGCTGCTTTGAATTCATTGTCTGTCTCGGCAAATCAGACAGTTTTTGTAGAGAAAGAGGAAGTGGTGAAAGGCAACATACCCAAAGCTCTGCGGTGCCTGGAGAGGGCTCAAAATCGGTACAAGGAGTTGGAGAAGCCAGATATCATACCAGGAAATATCAAAGGGGCTCTGAGATCTCTTGAGAAATCAGCAACATCCAAAGTAGAAGCTGCTGTTGATGATTTAGTTTCTGGGGATGTGAAGGCAACTCTTAAATCATTGGAGCAGGCGAAGCGAGCCGTGAAGGAAGTTGAAAAAGAAGAAATTGTGAGGGGTGATATTCGTATAGCAATGCAAAGTCTACACGATGCCTCCAGTGAGAGGAAGATGGGTCAACAAGAAGTAGACGTTCAGGGAGACGTCCGAGGAAAGATTCAACTCTTGATGGAGTCTCCATCTTCACCAAGGATGCAAAGGAGCCCAAGCCTTGAGGGTGATGTGAAGGGGGATGTAAAGATGTCAATCAAGTCATTATATGAGACTCAGGAACAAACCCAGCTGGGAAAGGAAGATGTGATAAAGGGTGATGTAAAAGGCACTATTAAATCCTTGTTGGAAACAGCACAGCGTGAAACTCCCAAAGTCAGACTTGGAGCATACAGAAGAGTCAGAGTCAAGCAGAGCCCTCCAGTTAAAAACCTACAGGATGATGAACAACGAAACATACAAAAGATAAAAACAGCCAATTTGGTTGAAACATCAAAAGAAAGCCAATCCATCTCAAATGAAAGTGAAATAATTAGAACAAAGTCAAGTTCTGTGGAGCAGTCTGCTCAAAAATCCACAACGGTGGTGCAGCATAAAATGATTACCCAAAACCATGGCATCAAGACATTAAAGACACAGTTCCGTAATCTAAAGTCGAATCCAAAAGGAATGCTTAGAGTAGATCAAACTAAAGTAACAACTGATGTTTTAATGCTAGGACCACAGGCACCAGAGCTTGATCTGCCTCTCCCACCTCCACCTCCACCAGTGGTAGACAGTGACCTTCTTCCACCTCCTCCTCCTCCTACTACCTCTGTTGTTTCTGACATTGACCACCTTCCTCCTCCACCACCTCCACTCACTAGTGAACAGGACTTCCTCCCACCTCCTCCATCTCAACAGGAACTGGAAAGTATGCCAGCACATGGAATTCATCCTTCACCAGCTCAAGCAAAAAAGATGACTGTGAAAAAAGTGAAAGCTCCCATTGTACATCTGGTCCCGAAGCTTGAGCCTAAA